ATCAATTCACACAGCATCAACAAAAATTTTTAGAACAACAGGAACAAAACTTTAAAAACAACAACAACAGCAACAACAACATCAAATTCATAAACAACAACAACAACTTCGAAAATTCGAACAATTCCAAAAACAACAACTTCATCAACAACAACTTCATCAACAACAACAACAGATTCAACAACAACTTCATCAACAACAGATTCAACAGCAAATCCAACAAGAGCTTGATCAACAGGCGCAATTGCTTCAACAATTACAACTACAGCCACAAATGGTCACACCAACACCAACACCACCACCACAACTTCTTATGACTGGTGATGGCTTAATCATTGACCAAAGTCTAACTATGCAAAATAGCCCCGCTGCATTCTATTACGGATATCCATCTTCACCAACTCCACCACCGTCAAATCCACAAAATCAGCCGCCCTACAATCCATATAGTTAATTGTATGAGAAATTCATGTAAATATTATAATACGATACTTTATTTTATTTTTATTTCATTTTATATATTTATTCTGTATTTTATTTATTTAATTTATAAACATAATAATCAAAAAAAACATAAAAAAACTGTTTATTATTTATTATTTTCGGGAAAACACTTTGTATTTATTATTAATTATTTAATATTAATTAAACATAGATTAAATTTAAGTTAAATAATAAATATAATGAATAATATATAATGAATAAATGAATATGGTTAACATAATTGATAAATAAAACAACCATGTTTCAAAGGAATGAAAATAGCTCATCTGTTGATGTAGAATCTAATGGAGATGTTGAATCCAATTATGTATATTTACACATTTTACTTTAATTCATTGGTTATTTATTATTATCCTTATTAAATTTTTTTCAATTGTTTCAGAATGTTATTGATTACTTATTCTGAATCTGATACAGAGTCTGCTATTGAATGTAATTACAAGGATGTCTTTACAAATCAGGAGGAGAGTTTGAGTCAAGAATTAACTTTCCCAAACAGTACATATGCAGATTTCATGAATTTAGTAGGTATAATACCTATATTCATTGATTTATTCAAATAGAACCATATGGAAATTTATTTAAATTTTCTTGAGTTGTTCAACACAAACTGTCTAATAGTGTAGGAGATGCCATAATAGGTTCTTTAATAGACATAAAAAACAAATCATAGTTTGCCAGGTTCTACTAGAATTGGTCACCAATTTATGGATAAAATAAATTTTAGTTGTTCAGATTTTCAAAAAATTAAAATTGTTGATTATGAAAATGAGGAATATTTTTTATATTATAGATCTATAATTAATGGGATTAATGAGAAACTATCAAAAGGGATAATGATATTCAGGATAACACGATGCTTATTTTTATAGACATTGAAGTTAATCACATAATATTATAACTAATGTTTTCATACTATTTACCAGATACAAATCAGTGATAATTACAATGAGCAATGGTCAGGAAAGTTGCATCTTCAACAATACTTTATGAGTCAAAATTGCTTTCAATAATTATATATTCTGATGCCACTAATTGTGATAATCTTGGTAAAACTATGAAACATCTCATATATATTACTTTAGGAAATATACTAGTTTGTCTTCGAAATAAGCCAGAATCTAAAACACTAATTGCTTATTTGCTCATTTTAAAAACCACAATTATTTCATAGAAAAGTTCAGCAGTGTTCAAATCTGCACAAAGATTGGCATTTATGAAATCATTGAAGATATTATTTGATCCAATCTATAAACAGTATGAAGATGGAACTATTCTTGAAATTAATAAAAGCTATATCTGGTGTGTATTGAAGCTATCTTTTATCATATCAGATTTACCAGAGGCATCAGCATTTTGCACAACTTATAAATCTTACAATTCGAAATTACCTTATCATACTTGTTTAGTTGAAAAAGAAAATTTAAACAATATGAATCTATCCTCAGAAAATATTTTATTACAAACACCAGATCACATGAAACAAGTCTTATGAGATGGGAATGATAAAGCCTACTCAATCTATCCAATAGAAAATATTTTTTGGAAATTTAAGTATGAAAATTAAGTAATAGTTGAGTGATAGTTTTATGTACTTTGTTACTTATAATAATATAAAAATAATTATGTAGGGAATTTAATACTTATAGTGCAACAGTTCCAGACAGGATGTACCATCTTGATTTAGGACCTTTTCCCTATCAATTACAATTAAACTTGTGAATTATTAAAATCATTATATGGTCAGGCATTAATTGATAAAATAGATGAACATTTTTCTAAAATTCCAAGATATCCAAACTTGAAAATCTTTAAAAATGGATTAAAAGAATTAAATAGATTTACTGCACATGAATATAGAATATGATACAAGTTTGTACATTTGTTATTGATAATCTTATAGATGATAGTGATAGCAAAATTTTGAAAGATTTGAGTGAACTTTATTATTTGTGGAATAAGATGTATATGATTAGTAGGAGTGAATCATTTAATGAATCATTATTAAATGAATTTGAAGTGAATAACTATTTGTATATCTTTTTATAATAAATTTTAAAGAATCTGCTTGCCAATAAATATTGTATTTTATAGCAAATAATCTATAGATGGTCAACTCAATTTGTAAAAATTTTAGGAAGATATTCTCCAACAAATTTAAATCTTCCTAAGCTTCATTCCTGGAAATACCACATCATTGATTCCATAAGATCATTTGGGTCCATAAATGTGATTACTACAGATAATTTTGAAACACTTTGTAAGTTTTGTGTAAAGGAGGAACCTTATAAATTGTCAAATAAAAAAAATACTTCTTTGCAAATGTTGACTATGATTAAGGTTGCTTGCCGAAAATTTTAGTGACTGTCGGAACTCTGTCGAAACTCTAATAAACAATTAATGCATAACCTATCGGAACTCTGGAGGAAATTCTCACAACCGCACTTCCCCTCTGTGGATCCGCAAATTTGCTCAATTGACACACATTACTATTACTATTACACTGCATCCAAGTTCGCCAAAAAAAATTTTTTTCATGACTTTTTTTTTATTTGGTAGAATAAATTTCAAAGATTTCAAAATATAAAAAAAATGTATTATAACTTTTTGTCTTTTCTAACCTTTATATTAGGCATCGCCAGATTCCAAGGATTTTACATATAAAATTGAAATATTTAAGAAAAAATTTTTTTTTTGTTTTTATTTGTAGTAAACATATAGAATATGGGTTTTTATTACGAAAAAACCTTTTAAACAATAAATTTTCAGCCTAAAGCTTAGTTTTTTTATATTTTATATAAATATGTCTTTTTATTCTTTTTATTATTATCAAAATCCATTTTTTTATTAAAGCTCTTATTATTTGTTATAAACAATATATATTAGAATAAAAGTTTCTATGTTTTTATGTGTATGTTGATATGCGTTGTGGTTTTAATTATAGGGAGGTGTGAGATTCCATTTTTTATAATTAACTTATCTCTGCGAAACAAGATAAATACGTTAAATACGTGAATTTGAATTTTATTTTATTTTATCAAAAATATAAATAATTAAAAACAAACAAATTACTATTAATATCTACATTTGTTAAACTGTTTAATGTCAAAATATAAAAAATAGTTATCATTGTTGGTGGTGTTGTTTTTGTTTACAATCAAAAGAAAAAATTTAAATTCTAACTTCTAAATTCTAAATTCTAAATTATTAATACGAGAAAAGCCTTTAAGACCAATCAATACTTATTATTTAGACTTGATGTTTTGAAGTAGAAAAGTGATGTAACTTAGTTGTTCATCTCTGGTCATATTATTGAAATGTTGATCAACAAAATTATTTGCGACAGAATTTTGATGACGATGATTGAAATAATAATTATTATTGTCAAAAAAAGTATTCATACAATTAATCCTCATGGCATTAGTTAGATTCTGGTTACCAATAATATCATAATTGATAATGCTAATTGGGTTAAATGAATTCTGACAAGCATTGCCAATTGTGTTAGTTGGATACTTGTCAACAAAGCCGTTATTGTTATTATTTATAATGCTAGTTGCGCTAAATGAATTACCAATTGTATTAATATCACTAGCGATAACACCCGTTGGAACAATAAAGTTCTTTTGGTCAATGAAACCATTATTGCTAGAAGTACCCATTGGAATGACAGTGTTACAGCCGACAAACTTATTTTGATCAGTGATGGAAATTTGACCAGGGTAGTTATTTTCGAAAGTATCGTGACTGTTTTGACGAGTTGAATTATTGACAACGGAACTTTGATTATCACTACCAGGGTTATGATAAATATAATTATTAAAGCCAGCATTTCGATTAAGGTAATTATCGTAGCCAGCATTTTGGTTAATGAAATTATAGTCACCAGGGTTTAAATGAATAAAATTGTTGTCTCTGGAGTTTTGATTTGGGCTCGAATAATGATTATTAGCACTTGAATGAAGAACAAGATTTTGATTATTGTAATTTTGGTTATTATTATCGATATTGTCAAAATAATTTTGATGATACATTTTTTTTTTTAATATTTTAATTTTGAATTTATTGATCAGTAATAGTATTTATTCATATAAACTTTTAAAGAGTGCGATTCTCGCGATAATGCAAACTTGTTTAAAACCTGTTTTTTATCTAATTTTGGTCCAGCGTGCCAAGATTACGTATTAAAATTCGATCTGGATTGCCCACGGTCTAACAAATATGGAAATGATATTCGGGTTAATATGGGATTTAAAATTACAAAAATAATTTTCTTTTTAAGGAAAAAATAAAGATTGGACTTCAGATAAAGTAAAAAAAAAAAGCATCGTGAGATTCTCCTCCAAGAAATTTTTTTACAAAAGAACAATGTCGCAAACAAATAAAATAAAATTACATTTTTATGTCTGAATCTCGTCGCCGCTCTTTTTCTGGAAGAAATCATGATCCTTTTATAGCCAACAAATGAAGAAAAGAACAAATTTCTATATATGGCGCAGTCGAATTTTGTATGTTAATATTAAGCTCACACAAAAAATCCAAAAATGATTGATTTTAAAGAGGAAAAACATACATCCTGATCGGTTGTCATAAGATTTATGCAGCATTCTTCGCTATATCATAGACATAATCAAAATTTGCTTCTGCCTTTTTTTCGTTTTTGCTAAAGAAAGATAAAATTATAACGAAATATTTGCCTATATGAATGATATATATTTACTGTCAATAATAATAAACAATCCAATTTAAGTAAAGTTTATATGACAAAAATCTTCAACCATTGTGATTATTATCATTATCATTGTCGAAAAATTTTTTTTTAAAAATTATTACCTTTTGGTAGATTATTGATTATTATAACAATAATAATTATTTAATAAATAAATAAAATGCTTAAAAAACGATCTATTTGTTATTTAATGGTTTCGTATTTTACATTTATCATCATGAAAGCGAGTAATAATATTATTTTTATAACCATAATGCAATTTTTTTTTGCTGCAAATTATTTATAAGAATAATGATTTGATATTTTTTAAATTTTTATCATTATGCATTATACTTTCTTAATATCAATATTAAAATCCGAAGCAAGTTCCAAGATGTATAATAATAAATAAATCTACGTGTCATATTTTAAATTTAATTACTGTTTAATCAAACCATTGATTGTCAAAGCTTGAAAATAAGAATAAAATTTTATTAGATAAAAGCTAACATATCAAGAAGACTCTTTATACTCAAAAGTTAAAAAAGTTGAAATATCATTTGATCCATACGTTGGATTTTAAAAAAACTTATCATCATTCAATTCAGCTTTAAATTCATTAATCATTATCATTATAAGTTAATTTTTAGGATTTGGTCCAGTATTTCAAATAATTTGTATTACCGTCTAAATTTAATTTAATTATAATGCATGCATCATATATCATTAGAATGTATGGGGACATGGACAATAGAAAGATGGAAAACTGCAAAATCATGTCTTGAGAAATCCAAAAATCTGCGTCTTTATAACGATAGATTTTGGGTGTCATTTACACAAAAAATTGTATTGTAT